CTCCCCAGTCGTGCCCTTCCAGCCATTAAAGCGGTTCCCATGGGGAGTGGGGGTGCAGGCACACGGTCCTGAAACCCAGCTGCTGGCAGGGCCTCAGCACCCGGACAGGGTTCTGACTGGTGTGTCTGTGTCACTAGGGGGGGGGGGGCTCTGCAGTTTTTGGAGAAGTTTTTGCCTATTGGGGATGGGACAATCCCTTGTTTAACTATCAACACCTCATTGGAAAGATTCTTTTTTGGTTTTATCATGTTTCCCCTAGCAACCGTTCACACACTGTCCCTCCTGCCACCTTACCCTTCAGGATGCTCCAGTTTACACCAGGTGACATATTTTATAAATGAACACAGAAACCTGCTTTTCCTTGTGGCCAGGTCAAACACCCCACTGCCGCCACCGCCACCACCCTGACACAGACCTCTAGCAAACAAACACTTGGAGTCAGGGCTAGGAAAGATTCCAATGACCAGCACACTGTCTGAAAAACCAAAACACTTTAATTAGACAACTGCAAGCACCTCAAACAACTGGTTATTGTTACAGCATGGGGCTATCTTCTCACACTCTAGTTATTGCAAAGGCATGTGAATAAATTCCATATGGACAAAGTCAAGAAAAAGTGGCACCGTAGTTACATGAAGATCAGAAGTAAGCTTACATTCATCCCACTGACTTCTAAAAGAGGCCAAAACACACCTCCGTACTGTACATTCTAAAATCTGTATTGCCTATAAGCTTCAGCCTATGCAGCTTTTTTTTTTTTTTTCCTAGGAAACACGTAATTGTTGCGTGCAACTTACAAGTCATCCTATGTCTAGTCATGGGAAAAATAAAGCTAGTGCAATTTGTTTTAGAAACATGTAAAGCTATGAATGGAATGAGCATCATCTCGCTTCTTGGATTATTTTATCCACTGCACTGTAAATACCTGCAGCTACAGCCTTCCTCAACTGATTCCGAGCACACACCTTTAGTATAAAAGATCAGTAATTCTACACAGAGAGTGGTTCTCATGCTCGACTTTTAATTTTTCTTCTTAAGGTATAGTACAACTTACAGTGCTTATAAAAAGGCAACACCATATGGTACCATGTCTTCACTATCACATTGTAAGGGAAACTGCTATTTTTCTTTTCTTAAAAGCACTTAAAATAGGCAAAAGTTCTAAAAGGGAGTGCTAAATGAGAATGCATACTTTATTAGAAAGAAGTCTAGCCTTCCTTTAAAGTGCCGTTTGGGGAATGAAATCCTGTAAACCAGAGCCACTTTGTTTAAAATCCAATGAACGGGAACTGCTACCGAATAGAAATTTTACACATTTCCTTAAAGCAGTTTGAAGTCCACTACATGCAATTGGTTTGCTATAAAGCTCTCTAAAACTTATCGCTTTACTCTGAAATTGAGTCCCCAGTCCCATATTTAAATGGAAATAAACATTTACAGGTGCATTTACATACACTATAATACAAGAATGACGTCCCTTTGCCAGAAGATAAAATTGTACAATTCCTCGCCGTAACTCAGTTCTGACTTGATAAATTTCTTATGCTCGTAAATTATATAATATGCATCAGCTAAAATATTTTTTTCATAAATAGTTACAAAACTTGCCAAAACACATGGGGGGAAGTTTCCTTTGTTCAAAAATCTGACATCTGAATGCCACACAACACAAGAAACAATGCTTAAAGACATGTTAAGTGTTTTCTGAAGAAAGTGGGTGAGTAAACTACTAGCTGAAGACAAAAAGACTACCCTTCCCCAAGAACACAGTGCACAAAAAGCAAAATGTCAAACAGTACCTCAAGCAAAACAAAGGTCTGAGGATTGAAGCCAGCTCACGTGTGATCCTGCTAAAGAATTTGTGACAGTCACCATTTAGGTCCGATGCACTGGAAAGTGGGTGCTGGCTTTTTTTTTTACAGCTAGGAGATTCTGCTAAGAATTCAGCCACGGATGCCGAAGGCATTCTCCAGCTGAAGCACGTTTTTCTGGGACCATTTCTAGCATGGGGATCAGGAAATCTGTAAACTGTGCAGCATCTTCATGAGGCCAACCATACTTCTCCACAAGCACATCAAAAAGACTCCAAGGTTTCAGCTTGGTAATGTGTCGGAGTTCTCCTGCAAACAAAAATATCACTGGCATTAGAAAAGTACCTTCATTACCCCTGTAGCGACTAATCCCTGTTTCGTTTTTCTCCCACTTTGCATTCACAGCACCTTGACCAGGCTGAGGATCATTATTTAGGAAGGGCGGCACATTCAAGCTTGCTTGAGGTCCTCCAATGAGACGAGCATGTCCAATGTCAAAACCAAGAAATCATTCCTACAGCAAACTGTACATTACACCTGGACTCCACTGACTTTTCTTGCCGTCTTCATTCTGTCTCCTGCGCACGAAGGCGCTCACTCATTCACATGCATGCTCACACCATGGGCAAAGAACTCCGCAGGCCTTTCATTCTTAGCCAACGAACCCACAGCTTACCAAACCCACTCCCATCCTAAGATGGAGGTCTTGGCAACACAACTCACTGCCTGGCTACGTGGCATCTACCGACAACGCAGCGGAGCAGCGACTCATTCCAAACCAAGCCAAGCACAGAGCTCTGGCACTCGGAGATTCTCCCTCTCCCAGGCAAACACACCCAGGAGGCTCGGTGTGAATCCTTCCCGAGCAGGAAGCAACCTGCTGCTGCCGGCGTCTCCTTCAACCCACCACCGGCACAATCCATGGCAGCAGCTGCAGGATTTCAGGTCCATCAAAGAGGGGGCATATGGCCAACCTGGCAACGTTTTTCAGACCCAGACAAAGAGAAGAGGCAAGAAGCCTTCTGCCATTCCAACCAGCACTGTTATCCAGGGCTATTCCCATGTCATCTAGCACGATGGGGACAACAGGCTCCTCTGGCGGCTCCCTGCCTCCCCATTGCCCTCTCTCTTCTTCCCATGTGTGCATCTGAGCCAGACTGTCTCCATGTTACACTACAAAAGCACTTCAGAGACCCTTGTGGTGATTCTGTGATGTCCCCTCAGCTGCTGAGGAGGGTGACAGATATTCTCAGCCAACACTGGCAGCTGGACGTGACTCACCCGCAGCACCAGGAGCACACCACACCACCCGTTCGGGGCACACAAGCCATACTATTTTTAAGTGATGTGGTTTGGCAACATGATTGTTGTCCCTGGCTATAAACTGCTGCCCATAAAATGCCACCAGACAGCAGCTGAGTTTCCATACATGCCTGTGGCTACGGAATTTCCAGGGCAGAAGAAATCCCTGCCTTCAGGTGCCCCTGAGAGTCTGAGCATCTGAATGCAACAGATCAAAACCACCACATGCCCAGCGGGACACGCTGCTGCCACCGCCAGCCGGAACGGAGGTTCCATGCAGGGTGCCACCCTTGCTAAAGCAGCTCTCCAGGTGCTGCCGTAAAGACCTCAAAGAGTAAGTGCACAAACAGCTGACCACTCGCAAGAGAAAGAGAAGAGACGTGCTGGTAACAGAAAGTGAAGATGTGCTGCCCACAGCTGACCCCCATCCTCCTCCCTGTCCATGTCGCGGGGCAGGAGGGGTGCTGAGGCAGAGGAATGAGAGCAGCGGGGGTATCCTGACAGCCGATGTACATTATACATTTACAGTACAACAGTGTCCCATCAGTACCTCAGGTTAAACAAAGAAAAGGCCCTGCTTTGGGCCCATCCCATCCCATGGTGTGAATGTACAGAAAGGACGGCACAGCTTGGAGAACCGTTTTCACTCTCAGCCCTTTAAAATATTTGTGCAACACTGAAATCTCCGAGTGCTGAAAATCTTACCCATTTGAAGGTTTCAAAAAGTGTGTATTGGTAACTACAAACAAGAACAGGTAGTAAACTGTCTAATAAGAATGCATAAACTCAGATATTTCCAAAAAGCAACAGAAAACTGTGACTTGTTATTGACTGCAAGCAAAAAATGGCTAAAAAAAAAAAAAAAACCCACAAAAAGTCAGGCCATGTCCATGTCTTCTCCAGCTTACAGCATTCATTGCAGGGGCCGCCATAATCATTTACCGAATGAGGCTCATCTGGGGGGAGTGTGCGTGTTTCCATGCAGCACTGCCTTCACCTGTGTTCAAATGATGCGCTTTTAGGCATCTTTCCTGCCTCAGGTTGCATAAAGTAAGATTGCAACACGAGGCTCCTGGTGTCACTGTGGACGGGGAGTTCACTCCTTGCTTTGTAAAGCAGAGACTGAACCTGAAATACCCAAGCTCAGACCAGTACACAATGTGCAGCGCGATGCTCTGTGGTCTTTTTCTGCTGAGGAACAAACTCTGTCAGCACTACACACTGAAGGTTTCCTAAGAAATTCCGTGAAGATTGTAAAAACGTTTAAAGAAGAGGGGATACAGCAAAAATTATCTGTGTGGGGGCCAAGAATTAAACCAGTGTTTCAGTTTTCAATAAAGACCATGATGCTGACCATGGAATCACAACAGGGTAAGTAAAAGGCAATTAAAACAACTGAGGTGGACGAGAAACTCCATTTATTTTTATGTATCAGGACCATGCCATTTCCATCCTAAAGCCCTGGAGAGCAGCACAGGAAAGGGAGGTGTCCGACAACACCTATTTTCATCTAGTTCATGAGGTTCGTACTGGGTAGTTGGAGGCCAGCGAGGCAGTAGCTACATTTAAGGGAGAAACGAAAAGCACAGGCCCCCCAGCCTGATACCATCAGTATTCAGGGCATTAACATGAATTTTCAAAGAAATGCTAAAAATGTAATAGGAAGTGAAAACTTCCCAACAGAAGCTCTTTATTTAGATTTTTGATGGTGGAGCACACAGGAAATATCCACGGAGGACAAGAGAGTTGTCAGAACTGTAAAACTCCTGCCAAAGTGGAGTTTTTAAAAAATGAAATGTTAAGTCAAAAGGAAATTACTAAAGGAATTTGAAGGACCTGTGGGGGAGGAAGATGCTATTTAAAGCTTTCTCTGCTGACCATAATACAAAAACCCAGAGCCAGTCTATGAAATTTGTCAAAGACAAATTTAAGATGTGTCACCAGGCAGGAGGAGGAAAGATTACTGAGCAGTAAGAAATGGATGACGTGAAGGACTGGGGAAGCAGCAGTGGGATATAATCTGCTACTACGTATTTTGAGGTCATGCTCCCCAGAACTAACGCAAGAACTGCTGGTAAGGCCCCACGATACAGTAGATGGAAGCGAGGGAGACGCAGGAGAGTCCTCTCCTTCCCTGCCAGGATGTTAAGTGGGCAGCAGCGCATCTCCTTGTTACAACTTCCAACGGGCAAAGCCAGTACCCAGCCAGTATCTTGCCCAGGCTTAGCTCAAAAGGCAACAGGGCTAGCAAATATCAGAAGAAAAATAAAAGGGACCACGTCTAGGAAAAACAGAAGGGTTTTATGTTTTAGTGACAAAACACTTTTACAGACAAAATTGCTTCCACAGGGGCACTGGAGAAGAAGACTCACTGGAGTTATTACTGGGCTCCATCGAGATGAGACCCTATAAAAAGCATGTGAGCATTTGTGTTATGGTGATTAAGAAGTAACTTATAAATGCTTTTCCTTTTTTAAAGGCACCCTCCTGTTTGTTACAAACTGCTTCAGGCAATTACTGAGAACAAGGGACTCGATCCTGTAAACTCGTTAGTTGATAACACCTTTCCCCTTGTGCCTGTGACTTCAGGGGAACAATTCAAACGTTTAAAGCTTCTCTCTGAGGTTGAACTTGCTTATGGACACGAGCAACACCCAAATCGTGATTTCTTTATTTTCACCCAAGGCTGATGTTTTCAAAACAGGAGCCTACAGCTAGATTTCCAAGCCCACTTTTACCCCACAGCACGAAATTTTCAGAAGAGCCTCAGGCCTCTACTCCACAGCCTCTGATCTCAAGTGCTCGGGCCACAAGCAGGTGAGGACTGTATGCAGCAGCTTGCTGGCCAGCTGAAGCCCACCATCTTTGCCAGCCCATAAACACAAATCCCTCCTGTGGGCACCAGGGAGGCTGGCAGTGCTGGGGTGGCCAGGAAAAAGGAAATGGATATTTGGTGCCCGATTCAGTGAAAAAAATTTCAAAGTAAGTGAGCAGGAAACTCAACGGCTCCATTTTTCCCCCACAGAGCATTTCAGTTTTCCTGACTTGTGACAGCAGAGTAAGTGGTGTGATCTGAAAATGCAGCTTGGGCTGCTACTCCTTCATCTTGCATTTGAGATTTTCTGTTTTGAGCAGAACAGGTGGGATCCAGTCTACTTAAGTTTCCACAGCAAACTTGCACTTACATTTTGTGTGGTGGGTGAACCAAGGCTTTTAAAATGCTTAAATCCCACCCAGAGCCGTGGGAGGCGGTACCTCTGAGGAATGTGTCACTGAAGTCCAGGCCCCACAGGACAACAGCGACACTGCAGTGGAAGATGCTCATGCAAACAAGTGAAACTCTCCATTTCATGGGAATTTTACAAACTGTCCTCTTCCATTCGCCACAAACACGGTGGTTACTGGGTAACTGTTGGGTCATTTTAAGGTTCTGTGACATCATTAGAAAATGCCACCCCAACTGGTGTAAAGTGAAAATTAGAAACATCAGCTATGCTTTAAGGGAGGTCGAACTGGGGGCTCTTTGTAATTCATTATGTCCCTCTGACAGTGTCTCCAGGAAGGGGCAGGGAGGGAGGGCAGGAGCCTTTCTGCAGGCTCTGCCCCTCACTGCAGCAGCTGCAATCGCTGTGGGGGTACCAGGGGGTGCCTCCTGCCCGGCCCTTTCACTGTTTTACACGCTTATGGACCTGTCACACCTGAGCTTGTTCATCTCGGTTAACATGAGATTGTTTTTAAGCCTGCTGAGACAGCCTCTCTCTGCAGCCCCCGTGGCAGCAGGTTCCTGAAGCTCACTGCCTGCTGCGTAGTGAAGCACGTGTTTGAAAAGCCATCCCTGGCAAGTTTCACTGCGTGTCCCCCAGCTCTCGTATAGTGGGGGCTGATGAACAACAGCTCTGTTTCCAGCTTACCCA